ATATATATGTATATATACGCAAATATTATATATATATTTGCGCGAGTTAAGTATTAAGTATACAGCTCACTTCACTCTAAACTAAATCTATCATCGTGTGCTAAGAAAAATTAAGAACTATTTTAAATGTGTTTACATGTTGATCTATAACAGCAAACTATACTGTATGAAAGATCATTTGTTATAGTTCTGGATTGTAACTTTGCCGAGAATTTCCACACAAATTTTTTTAGTTGGGTTCCTGTTGCAGTTCTCATTAAAAAGCCGGCTTGTGTCAATTCCAAAAAGATAATCGTGGGGTCAGCCATTGCTGGACAATGGTTTTTTTGAGTTAATGTATTTGAGAGGTTTTTAATTTGAATTAATGTATTGGTGTGCTTTGATGAGGATAAAAATAAAATACTCCATGAACTTTATGGTTTAATGAAGAGCTGCCGTTCTCCGTTAAACTATAAAGTCCATGAAAAAGCATTTCGATGGAATATTAATAATTTAATTGGAAGTGCATACTTTGGAGGTCACTCCACTTTCTCTAGTTTTTCTACCATTAATTTGTTTTGAATTATTTTTGTTGGGTTTATTTACTGGATTTGCATTTTACACTAAATATTAGAAAAAATTAGCTGTGCTGTACTCTGACTTTGCTTTTGTGGGCTGGTGCATAAGATTTGTATGTATATATGTCAGGCTTCAAAACATTGTTAATAAAGTGACCCAATTTACTGATCACTTTATATCCAATATTTTGAAGACTTAGTAGGCCAATCTTAAATGAGAGGAGAAAAGCCAGATCCATTGTAAACCTTGATAGCAGTGCTTGTGTTTCACGAGAAATAATCTCCTTATTTCGTATCATGCAGAAGTACTGTGTTTATGTGCTTTGATCTCTTGTTTGGATTGCATTTTTGATGATCTCAGAGTACATCCACTACAACCTCAACCATTTTTGAGGAGATGATCGAACATTAGATGTATTTTCTCCTCATTTTTTTTCCTAACGTCTGTGGTGCCGTTATTGCTTCATTGAAATATATGTACGCTGTGAGCATTGGTGCGCATGTATTGATTGAGGCGGAAAAGAGTTGGAAATCATTAGCTGACCATTTGGTGGTGTTCGTTCCCTGCTTTTCAAATATTTGGTGCGGTGAGTTTTTTGTTGATGTTTAGAGTTTCAGAAGCTTAGATCATAGTTTTGTTTGGGAGAGCATAGCTCGTTTTCTCCTCTCTTTCTTTTTTTCTATCATTAGCATATCGGAGATTCCCCAACAAAAGCTAAAATTTTTTCATTTATTTAAAGTTCTATATTCCCGTAAGGAATAATATTGTTCGTCGAATCAAGCCGATGAGTGATTTGTTTTTCTATGTAGTTTTGCTTGTATCTGTCGCATTTATGGTTTTTAAAGTATTTTTTGTCGGAATAATTCCTATGAAATATTTTGTTCACCATGTAACAGTATCAAAAATTCGCACGCCACGACCACTGCTCACATTCTTCTAGAAATACAAATAGTAAGAAAAAGACCTCGCCTATGCTTCCGAGTGTATAATGTAAAAATCGGTATATAGTGTTGGTTCCTATCAACATTTCCATGTTTAATGTTAAAAATGCGAATTTTTGATGCTGAACATGCGTGGGATTTCCGACTTAAAAAGCAGGAAACAATAGCATTTATGTCGGGTGTTTGTTTCTTTCGTTACGATGTAATTGGAATTTGGTAAACATCATTATTTGTGAATTATTAGTAAGTGAAAATGTCAACATCGAATATTTTTGATGCAGCGCTTGTGTGGTAATTTTGACTACTTGGAAAGGGAAGCCCCGAAAAGATATTGCTGGATATTATATTTTTGCATGATGGAACCAAAATTACCAAGTAGCCAAAAGGAGAAAGGCTGAAGTATTATCAGTATAGGAGTTTCCTTGAATATCTTTGAGAAGGAACATCATAATGGCTTATTGTCAATCATACTTAGATCATTTGTGATGTTCTTTTTGTTTTATTTGTGAAAACGGTATCTAACGAATGATTATTTGTGGAGAAGTGATGTTATTGTCCTACTTATAACGATGCTGTTTTCATCTAATTTCCCGTTTTTCTTCTAGATAAAAACTCAAATAAATTCTCAAATTATGCATCCTTAGTGACCGCTGCCAATAATAATGCCTAATTTAAGAATTCATTCGGGCTTCTGTCCGAAAACTAGCATCTCAGTATTGTATTACAACTAGTAAGAAAGATCGTTTGTTACAAGGTCGTAACTCGTCTATTGTTCCTTTCATCTTTCCCATTCACTCATATTTCTTTTCCTGCTCCATCGTTCCCCTCCATATATTATTTTGAAGTTATCCCTTTTAGCAATCAGAAACTTTTCATTTTTCATTACATCTTTGCTTTTATAAAGTTTCCGTCATTGTTTCTTCATCAGTAAAGTTTAAATTTGCTGTTTGAAGTTTGAGAAGTTAACCTAATACTTAATACTTCATAAACTCTATAATTTTCATCCGCAGTAAATATTGCATTTCTTAAAGATTTTTCTTTATTGTTTCTCTATTAATAAAGTTGTGTTTGTGCGTTGAAATCATTGAAACGAATAATTCACTAGTTCTCCCATAACTTATATCTGTAATAAATATTATAATCTTTAAAAAGTTCCCTTCGATATTCCCTCATTTAATGTTTGTATTTGGTATATTCCAAAGTTTGAGAAGTTAGAATAATTTACGAGCTTCTCTCTATTTTTTTTTCAGAAATAAAGTTACTTTCTGTATTGCGTTTGAAATCATTGCTTTACAACTGCATTCAACATCTCAGCAATGTCGTTTCTGAAATGAACAGTCAATTAACCGCTCATGAAATGCGCTCTGGGGGGCATTTGAATGCGATGAAATTACAGGTGCGGTCTTTGCGGAACTTGAAATAGTTACATCTGAGAAACAGTTACAGCTGTCCTTTCACGTATCCAGGTGACGTACTGCTGCAACAATCTGTAAACAAATGTTTAAAGCAACGTTTTTTCAGTCAGCTAAGCTTATTCGCTACCTAATTTCAATCGGAAAACAGGTTGCTACACTTTTTCACAGCATTCAAGCTACCGGCAATCTAAGTAGTACAGCGACTACCATCGCGAATCACTTTATAGATGTATGTGCATAGTTATATAGTAATAGCATCACCGAGGGAGAACTACTATGATTTGACCATCCTAATACTTTATTTAGTATTGAGAAGTATAAAACCTCAACCAGTTTATTGTCGATTCGTCTGCCGCAAGGACGTAAATTCTCAGGTATGCACTGGTCACACTTTTCCCATTTGAACTCCTGAAATTAAGATTGGAAGAGGAGGCGGGATTGTGTCATAAAGGTTTTCATTCCTGACAAAGACAACTTACTCCAGCTCGTTTTTGCAGTTTTGTTTCGCAATTGCCTCTAAGTTTTGTGCGTATTTCGAAGCGTACTTCTGAAAGAAGTATATGAAGCACAAAAATACCATGCTAATATTTATTTTAGTACTTATAATCATTCTCACCTTCATATAGGAAGATACTTCTCATATTCTCGATATGTGACCCACGTTGTAATGTGAATATTGTTTGTTGGAACTGTTGTTTAATATCAGCTGCTTCACTTGTCAATAAGTCACTGAAATAGACAAATCACTGGCTACAAACATGACCAAACGGTCATATTAACTGTCCACTTTTTCAGCAGTAAGAAATACATTTATAATCCAAAGAAATGATTGACATATTTTCGTGTTTCGGAATGAATGAAGCAGGGAAGTTATATGACCTAAAGTGAGAATACTGCATATCCGTAATGATTAGTAAGACCTCCATCACCGCTCTGTTGTCCTTATCAAGAATGCACGCCGCAAAATGGGATAACTCATCGAACTTTATCCATCGATGAACTGTTTGCAGTGCGCCACTTACATAATCCGACACTTCTTTCACTCGGCATTTCTAGAATGCAAAAACAACAGTAAAGAGGATCGATTCAATTAATGATTGCTCTGAAGACTCTCATTTCGAAATAACACAAAATTCCTTGAGAAACTGATCAATTTGTCATGTATTGAATAAGCAGAGCCTGTTGAATGCATGACATGTCGTAAAAGCTATGAGAAAGTTTTTACTGTCGCTAAGAAGGGAAGCTTGATACGGAGTTGAAACCAAAAGTAGCAAGTTAATAAGAGAGTGAATCAAGTGAATGACTACCTATATTTTGTCCTGGTTATTCTTATATGGTGGGACTTATTTACAACATATAACACATAACTTGGTCATCAAGCCAAATGTTAAGTTACCAGATCAGATGTTCTTTACGACAGGATAATGGGATTTGGATGATTTGTTACTTAGGGCACTGAAAACATTTATTTTAATTTTTAATGTAATGCATCATTTATCAGTAGGATATTCCAAATAAAACAACTTTTGTATTAAAAAATCTCCACATTATGAATTTAATTCAGTTATTCCAAGATATTTCTCCAATACAAAAGTATTTTATTTCAACATATTTCTATATTATAAAAATATTCCGGTTTTTCTGATATAACATGGGGAATTTTCGGAGTCATGAACATTAAGACAAACTAACCGGTCGGTGGTCAGCTTGTCTCAGTATTCATGATTAGATCGTTTTAAACTCGCACTTACATGTATTAGAATAGCCCCGTAGAAGGCTGTATCAAACGTTTCAACTGGATAACCACCATAATTGAAAAGCAGAGTATGGGAAATAATTTCCAAGAATTCAGTGACCATATCAGCCAATGCTGTAAATGTTACATATATTGCCTACCTTTCTCCCTTCAATTTTACTCAAATATCCCAATCTCTTAATGTACAATTTATTTTGCTCCTCCTCTCTCTCCCCCCTCCCCCTCCCTCCCTCCTTCCGGCTATAAATTACACACTTTACAGGCCCTCCATAGTAAGCCCACACAACGGAAAGTTATGGTTGTGTACTTACCTGTTCCATTTTGAAAGCTAACAAAGTGGCTTTTTACTTCTAAAGTGAGAAGTGAAAAACCATGCATTCCTTGAAATTCTACTAACAGAATGAAAAACGTTTCATATTGAAATACCCACCTTTCCGACTGTTAAAACCTTTTCGACCGACTTTAGCAATCTGAACGCTTTTTCCCATTGTTAGCGCTGGCTAAATGAATCCAAACTGCTCGTTATTCTATACTTTAAACAAAGTTGAAGCACGGCGGAACCTCCCACTCGCTACCGCTCACTATTTCGACCGAGCATTATTCCGACCAGACCGGATGAAAATTGTCTCGCTCATCGTCCTAGCGTGCCTTGTTCTTGCCATAAAATGACACGTTACTTGTGAAGATTTCACCACGTTGGAAGTTCTTCCCAATTTCGGAATCACCTTGCAGGTGGACGCCTTACCGGTTACTCGACATATCTTCCAGAAGTGCTCCGCTAGTTACTTTGAATCCCGCCAAGCACCGTTATTGCCGTTATTTACATATATCCCACTACCATTCCACTCCCTTGCTAAGTTCGAGAGAATATCTCAGAAATACACAGAGATGTTCATCTAATCCGATGCATTAAGGCTTTATGCATCCAATTGTCCATCTTAAACCATCACATCCCGTCAACAAAGAACAGGGTATTTCATTATGACCGATACTGTTTATTAATACAGAGGAAATATTGGTTCGACACTGGCTGAAAAGTTACGATGAATTTCTTGCAGGAGAGATATATATAATAGACAAGCTGTTTGGAAACTGAATAATTTAGGAGGAAACAGAGGGGAAGATTCCACATCAACTTTACCAATAAACTAATAACATCATGTGACCAACAAGTATAATGAAAAGCTTGGCAAAAATGTTCGCTGTAACATTCATCTCAAAAGCAGAAGGAAATGATCTTGATCGACAAGCATTGTTAAGGAGGGATTGATGAAACTTTCCAAATTGACCAAAAACAAACGATAATACAGAACACGCTCTCTCTCTCTCCTCTGAATGGCATGCAAAAACCGCATCTCAGAGACAAAAGGAAGTGCATGAGGAGCACCAACACGTGAGGATCAGAAATTCATTATAGCTTCTGATCTTATATAGAAAACCTTTAGAAATATGACACGGAATCCATTGATCAAATCAATCATTTAATCACAAGTCACACCTGCAGAACACATCATTTCTTCACAAAAGCTTTTTCATTATCCCGTTAGAATTTAAAACTTGAAATGACAAGAGCGGTATAATCAGACCGCAGGTACGTATAAAGCAATCTTTCTTTAAAACTATGGGAATTAAAAGATTAAAATGAAAAAGAGCAAGCACCACCCAGTTATTTTAAGTATAACAGATCAGATGATAACAAAGCTGACATTTTTTCATCTCTCTTCATTACTTCCTATTAATAGATAGGTCACCTCAGCAAGAACCTCTCCAAGCTCATAATTAAAGCAGCTGTAACAAAGAAATACAGAAAAAAATCATTTCATAACAAAACATATTAGAACAGAATTGAGTGAAAAAAAAGCACAATAAAAGAAGGAACACTGCCGGTTAACAAATCAAATTCGGATGTGTTATTTCCAAAACTGATCGTAGACACAAAGAATGATTTCAATCTATCAGTTATTAAAAAGTAACTTTAACCACAGTATAATTTTAAAATATAATAAAGCATTGCGGAATCGGGAAGACGCGAAGGGATGTAAATCTGTGTAATAACAAATCATCGGTGTGTTCAAATTTTTATTTATTGACAAGAATATATCGATTCCTTTCCATATCCCGATTCCCTAACAACAGAAAAATTGTTTCAAGTAATTCAAGCTGAACTACACATGTACGCCAAGGATAAGTAGTTGAATTACTACGCTGGTTGGTTCAGTTCGAGTAATAAATAAAGATGAATAAAGATGATTTACGGGAAATTGCCTGAAAAAACAGTACTAATAAACTTCTCAAGTATATCGCAGAGAACTTTCTTCAAACATCTTTATTTCAGTAATACGGAATAAACCTAAGAAACCATGAAAAGTGTTTGTTCTTTAACAAGCATCATGAAGTGTACACTAATTTAAAATAGTTACACTGGTAGGTCTTTATAAATTAGTCTTCTCCATTACTTACTTTTATACTATTCGTAAACCTTTCCTCATTGTACGAATGAGTGGTAAGCATAAACAAACATTTTATCTGACTAGCTATGGTACTGCTTAATCGAGATAAACAAACCTTATGAACTGAATCCAAAATATATTCATACGTCGAATTAGTACTATAACGAATGGTAAATATAGGCAGTAGTGTTAAAGGATAGGACAAATCTCGAACTGAAAATGCTCAAAATGCTACTTCTCTCATTTTGCTATCCACTAATACAACTGATGCAATAAAATCTCAACGGTGAAGCATTAAGGATGATATTTAAACTACGAAATAAATGTCAACAATGAACTCCAACCTAATCAGTCGCTAGATGAACAGGACCGCGCAATTATTATGTAAATAATGTGGTACTCAGTCTAACTCTTCTTTTTCTTATGTCTAGAAAAAAGAACAATGCTTAATTTGATCGTGAACTTACAAAACTAAAATGAAGCCATGTTGGCAGGAAGTTGAAGTATTTTCGAGATAGTTTTTTTTCTCTTTTGCAAATGAACTGAAATTAGAAATCAATGAACAGCAACAGCCGGTGTGTCGACGCTTCCCGCTTGAGTGTCAACTTTCTTACATTGTTCCTCTCCCGCCTGTTTTTCTTCGACAACCTATAAACAGCCAGCAGTGAATTTTGAAATGTTGATTAGTGTCCCACTAATTATTTTTGTCATTACTCATTATAAAGCATCGGATATTATTGTCAGGGTGGACGACACTGGTCCTATTTTTTTCATATAAAAATTTTTTTCTGGAATAGTAGAATCTCGAAAACATGTGGATACTGATACTCTTACCGTCATCACGTTTCTGGAAACACAAATAATGATATCCAGAAGTGTTTTCGTTAGGACTCTATGAAGTGAACCATTTCTGCCCGGTAATCATGTCGCAACGTATTATCACTCTTCAAGGTATTTCTCACTACCTTATCATATTGCAATTAAAGTCGGCTTAATGAGGATTTCTAATTGTAGAAAATGGAAAAACCTTTTCAACAGTAGTTGCCTTATCTTTTTCTTCTGCTTCTTTCGCAAGTTTTTTCGGTGTCTGCAAGAGAAAACATTTTCCTTCATTCCTAAGAAAAAAAGAGATAGACTTTGAAGTCCAATTTAAAAACTGCTTTTAGCTGCTGACAGTTATATCTTGTCCGCATACTTACCCCTCATCATATATTCATGAAGCCAAAAGAGTGAATGAATAACACTATAATAAAATCTTTGTTCCACTACTGACTAAATAATGTACCAAAAGTTGTTGATACAAACCTGAATTGGCTGTGCTCGTCTGAAGAAATTTAAAATTGTCTGCACAAGATTAGTCGGTACCACCTGTGAAGCTGTTTGAACGAGTTGCTCAACATCAATTCCCTAAAAATAATCAAACTGTTTATTAATTAAATTCATGCAAAACAAAATTCCCACACTAACTTGCGTATCCAGCTATCTCATCAAAAAATGAAATTACTAGAACATAACCTTTTGCTCAAATATGCCCTGTGCCTTAAGAGCAAGCTGCATAAGCGTGTTAAATACTGCTTGATATCCTGCTTTTCCTTTCTCTTGTAGATCCGCGGCAGTAAATACCTGCAAAGAACTTCTTGGTAATTAAATGACGAGCGAAAAGTGTGTATTTCAAATTTAAAAACATAGCACTACATTCGCTCAGTTATGTTACCTTATTCAGAATTGCTTTGGAAATTATTTTAAAAAAGTAAACATTCATGGAATTTGAGCAGCGCAGATTTATCATAATCTCGTGTGCGCTCACTCCCTAATTCTGTTAATTACAATTCTCTTTTGGAACAGAGGTTCTTGCTCTTGATGGCTGCATTGTAAAATTAAAATCTTGAAATTTCGCAATCCCCGATCCTTTTCCGGTCATTGAAGCTAAGCAAGCAAAATAATTTAATCTATTTTAGCGTTGTAATGGCCAAATAGCTGTTCATTTTTGGGATAGCGTGCCAGTCACAGCAATTTAGTAGTATGAAATGTAGTAGCTTTTCGATTAAAAAAAAAAAGTCTAGAATAAAAAGATCGATGTCTATAGTCTACTAATGGATGCTGGAATGCTGGAACCTAACATGGAACCTAACACAGTGCTGGAACCTAACACAGTGCTGGAACCTGACACAGTGCATAAGAGAACAGTCTGATCATAGTATCCACCAATCACTTTTCGCCATTCTGCATCTTACTGAGGAGCAAATGGTTATTAGAAAAAAAAACAAAAATATGAATCATGCAGTTGTTTACCTAATAAGATTTATTTCCTAACCAAATAGATCACAGAGGGAGAAACTATTGTTAGCACAATGAATAGACTATTAGCATCGAACGAAGAGAATGGATAAAACCATCGGACCACAGCTATCCTCTTATTTGAGCGAAATATCATCAGTGCTTGATAATTTATTGGAGTTTGGAAGATGAGAAGCTGAGAATGTGTAACAAGAAGAGCAAGCGACAGAAAAGAGGTGCTAACTCCACGTCACAAAGCAAATTTATTTCTGCCACTGTTTTTAAAAAGGTGTCTTAAAAATTCTAATTTATCGAAATCCTTCATATTCACATACAAAATAGTTTCACTGGAATTTATTCCATCCAGAGATACCAACCTACTATCTATTCCATTCGAATTATAATCCGCAGTTATTTTAAACACGATTTCTCTTTAACCTCTTATTACTACACCACTACTAAGGCATCAATTACTAGCATCAATTTTCGTTGCTTAAGGCAGTATAAAACCACCCTGTTGAGAGAGATCTATTTTTAAGTAATGCTGACACAATCTCACGCCGAATAAATTTATAAGAAGATGTCCGAAGTATTATTCTCAAAGTGTCTTTCTGACTTTGAGTTAGTCAACAGTTACGTAATGCTCTTTTAAACATCTGGTCTTCATTCAAAAACACACAAATATTATTAAGCTAATTTTCCTAAAATTTCCAGATATGTTCTAACGAACTTTGAACATGGTGTTAGAAAAAGAAATGTACTGAATGAAAATAAAAAAATGATGGTTTCATTTCCGCTTCTCCTCTATTCTTTTTTTAATCCTCATCATTTCAGTGTGACATTCGGTGACTTACCTGGAAGATCTGTGTGTGGTACTCCTACCCTTGACTATCAATAAGTGCTTTACTTCCTCTACCCCTACCTCCCTCTCCTCCTCGTCCTTGTTTGCGTCAGTTGCTGTTTCTTTTCCTACAGAACAGACGAAAGAATCTCTGATTGTGCGAAACGCAATTCACAATTTCCACAGTTGTTTTAAACTAATTGGAATTATTTTACAGCAAAGTTATACCACTAGCTTTTATCTCTCAGGCGAAAGAAAAACGGAACTAAGGTCTTTGATGAACTGATCACAACTTGATCCATTTCAACCCCTTTAATCACGTATCGAAATAACAAAAAATTTGATTCCTTCGATTAATCAACAGCCAACTGGCAACTATCAGCCACCGGTCAAGCTCTCTCCATCATCAGAAAATTGATGAAAAAGAACCGAGCTGGCTCCAACTAAAAACAGTAACAGATTGACGCACTCAAATTACTTGTGTGTAATCAGTTTTTTCTCTTCTTTCTTCTGCAAAGAAGATATAGTTCCTTACAAGGAGAGGCCCGTCATCGTTCTCCGTTCAAAATACACATCTATTTCAACGACTTTCAACGACGAAAATTCAGTGTAAATTAACAGTCCACAAAACCATAACAAATGAAAAGTATTTACTTCACTACTCCATCACCTCTCTATTTCAAATTGTTCGTAATGAAGTAACAGTGAACTGTACTCAGTGAAACCTGGAAGTAATCTAATAAATTATGAGGGAAATCATCGAAAGAAACGAAAACAGTGACCTGCTCCTCGGATAAACCAGCTTTTTCTTTAACAAAATTGATGAAAGCATTAATATTAGATGTCTGATTGGTCTTATCCTTAGCCGCGTCTCCTTCATGGATCGTTTCGACGGTTCCCGGCTGAAGACGATTCGCTAATTTTGCCAACAATGATCCATCTCGAAGAAATGACAAAAACTGATTCTTTGTGACAGCATCACTTCTGCCAGGTAACATTTGCCGTTTATCTTCTTCTTCGATGGCCAACTGCTGAGCCCAATCTAACAATCGGTAATTTACCTGTAAATTATAGTCTTCTTTCAAATATCCAAGCTCTTTAAATTTACAGTGATGTATTCTTCACAATATTACTGGAATGTAATGTAAAGCTAGCTTATTAGATTTAACTAGATGGCCATCACTTACTCATGTTCATGATTCTGAAGTCACTTTATACTTGGAGCTAACCGAACAGACCGTAATAGACGACGTTTCATCTATTTTAAATTCCCTATTTAACTCCAACTAAAGGCAAACCTATTAATAAAGTTTGACACCTTAGAAGTTCGAGTAAATGAATGATGAACCTCGAAGGTAAGCTACTACAGAATGGTCAATACTCAAAGATGAAATAGTAGCTTGTTTCCCTGCTATAAAAGAGGCTGATACCTTGTGGACAGCACCAGGAATTAGTGAATTCACCCAAGCAACCGGATCTTCTCGTGGATCCTTTCGCGATTCTGGCACCTTTTCCTTTGCTTCAACTTTCTTTGGTTCAACAGTATCCGAATCCTTTACATCGGCATCAACAGCAGGTATATCTTCATCAGGGTTGACTGATATTGGCAATTTGCTTTCTGTTACTGGTGAATTTGTGTTTGAAGCCTGGAACAGAGCAACCTCGTAGGACAGCTAAGCTTCATAGACAAAAACCAATGAAATGATGGACAATAATGCCAATAGAATATGAACTTATTCTTTGTACATTAATACCAACTGTACGGTCTAAAATTTTAACATGATAAATCCAACTGATTTTGAGAGAAATGAATGTTTTCAATCTTTTCCATAATTTTAAGCAGTGATGAAGTCAATTTCCCACTACTCGATCGAAATCTCACAGCAGAAAAAAGGATTCCTATTTCGGTCTTTTTTTTCAATAAAACAGTATTTAAAGAGCAAGCACTTCAAGATTCTCTTTACTAAGATGAAATAACAGACAATCGAGCAACGTAAAATGCTAACTCAATGTATAGCGGCTTAATGTAAAGGATACAGAAGGGGCATACGGGATTGATAAAGTTTGACTAAATCGCCGTTGGAAGGATTGTTAAAGGCATAGGTGAGCTAAGCTGTAATGATCGAACAGTTTGCGAGCTTGCGTTTAAGTACTCAAACAATTCGTTCTCTCGACTAATCTCTGGTTAATTGATTTTTTATGTAATGAAGTCCAAATGAAGAGAAAAATACCTCGTTAGTGGCAGGAGTAACTTTCGTTTCAGTTTCAATCATTGTGGATGATGGAATGTTATAATTCACAGAGAATGCCTGGTTAGGCTTTGGACCGCTGCAATTACAATACTTCGATGTTCGATATCAAATAGATGTATCCGGAAATGCAGAAAGCGACGCGGCCAGTGTTGGCAATACAGAATTTGAAAGTCTTAAATTTATTCTTTCCTGTAAATTCATACACAGCTGAGAAAACCAAATGCGATGTATGAGATAACACGCAGAAGAATATGTCGAGAACAGCAATGCATGCAATTATATTCGATCACAAAGATGTGAAAATCTGCTTGTTCATACAAATGAAATAAATATGAAAAGCTCGTGCAAAGCTCTCAAATTTCAAAACTGAAGATTTTGGCGGAAGTGTGGAATTGTCTAAAACTTGTAATACTGTATAAATAGATAAAAGTGGAGAATGGATACACGTTACAGCGGAAAGGAAGACAAAACGAAAACGAATCGACACATCCTTATTGGATAAAACGATAATTATACTAGCGAGTGGTAGGTAGTGCAAACAGTCCTATTAAACAACACTAAATTCTGGTTAATATATCTAACACGTGACACATGGAATGGTAAAAGAGTCGTTAGCCCTAAAATGAATCGATCTGATATACGATGTGCATCCTTTTCAGTGATGAAAGTTCATGACAGTACAAAGTGAGGAGATGGGGAAAAAAATTTGTAAAAGATATGCCGGGGAAGAAAGAGCGAAATGGGTATCATATCTTTAAAACCTGGGAAAGAAGTGTTTTGTGGTTTTGTGTGGAAATATACTTCCTGAAGGTGTGATAATTCAAGTAAGAAAAGAGCATGAATACGAGGTGTGATGGTAATTTTTAAAAAAAATAGAGAGATGATATGTAATACTAACCATTCCAGGTAAGCAGCAACTGAAAATAATAAACGCTTACTCATGCTTATCTGTGCAGAAACTATTAATATGATCCATGGAAAGGAACTTGTAACTTCAACTCCTCGAGTCGCATGACTTGTAGAAATACTACTTTGTAACTTCAACTCCTCGAGTCGCATGACTTGTAGAAATACTACTAATACTAATATACTAATATAGTATACTAATATACTAATATACTAATATACTACTACTACTACTACTACTACTACTACTACTACTACTACTACTACTACTACTACTACTACTACTACTACTACTACTACTACTACTACTACTACTACTACTACTACTACTACTAGAACG